AATGGCGGCTATGATAAAGGTGTAACAAGATACGTCATAGAAGCCGCCATGTACTGGTGCAGATTGTTTCGATCCCGGTGTGGCTCGTTCTAGAAGTTCCATCAAAGAAAGCGAGCAGAGGTAGAAAATGTTGCTTTCGTCACGACGTCCCAACTTGAGGTTCCTTGAATCTCCCTCGACTGACTTGCCAGTGAGCTGCAACAGAACAGGCCTCTGTGGTGCCCGCCTTCCACTGCTGTAACACTGCCAGGATAGAGACCCGGGGTTCATCCATGATTGTCAATCTGGGAAGGTGTTGCTAGTTTTGGGAAAGGCCTCCTGAGGAGTGTATAGCATAGATTTGTGCACTTTGAGCAGAAAATTCTTAGGGACTCAGCCTGGGGGTATCTTAGGAGAATATTGGGAGTGTGTGCGTATAAACCGCTAATCGTGAGAACCAGTAGCATTATATTCGTTGTGCTCAGTGTCCTGGATCTGGTCTGGATCTGCCTGCAATTTATGGGCCCTTTAGAACTTCATCATTACACAGTGATGACATCACCAGCTGGAAATTGATGGGACCGAAATAAAGATGAAAAACTAGTTTGTAGCTGGATTCTATCACTAGCATGGAGAAGCTATCAATAGCATGGACTTCAGATTCGCACAAGAATGTCCCATAGGTAACAGAATTTGATGCACAGGTAATTCTGAAGATGGCTTTAATACTTCCGTTCTGATTCCCAAGGACCTCCACAGGCTGAAAGGGCATCTCAGAACTATTTCGTGAAACTTGGTGACATTTCAGGTAACTGAACAGATCACATACGTATGTATCAAGTGCAGAGAAGAGAAGAGTGAACAAAAAGGCACCAAGACATGGTCCCTATCTTTTAGAACCGAGTTCTGCATGATGTTTTATCCCATACTTCATTCTCTGCTACTTGGGCTTAAAAAAATGTATTCCAGCAGTCCTAGCTCACCTCCAGTGCTGATCAGAGTAACACGATGTGAAATAATGACAGGCGTAAGAAAGAAACGGCTTGAAACCAATTCGCGTCCTTTTAATTTAACAAAACTTGGTATGTCTAAAATAGCCTAAAACTGGTATAAATCAAAGCAGTCTGTGCAATAAAACTTGAAAATATGGCAGAAAAAGGAAACACTTGCGGGCATTAAACCGCGGAAGAAAATCTGTACATGGCAATCTTGTTCAGCGACAAACAAGTGTTCATACAGCTGCGAATCACTGAAGCGGATATAAAGACTTCATAGCGTTTCAGAGCAAGAAAAACAGCCAATTAATTTAAGCAGTACGATTGACAGCATTGCGGGCGCTACGCGGGCGCCTATGAAGGTGTCAAGGCTTGCTTTGACAAGAGCCACACGGAAAACTAAGACACCAGCCACACACGCTGTGCAGGGTTCTCGTTCTGGCTTCTTGAAATACGGTTGAAAAGCACTTCGCACATTGCAAGAACTCCACGTGTGCACGGTTTCAATTACGGAACACAGTAGCGAGGCCTACTTCATTCGGGCTTGACTAGAGAATCGCCGAGGTTAAAGCAGTCGGACTGTGGACATCGGCATGCCCGGAACTTCTGCTACCGAATTTTATGCGCGTGATACCCGGAATGACTCAAGGGATATGCACTGGCAGATGAACCGACGCGTTCTCTTTACACAAGAGCGCGGCGACCAAGTCACCACGGCACTCGAGTATCCGACAGAGTGTATCAGATGCTCCTGTTGGCGACCGGCGCCGAATGTGCGTCGCCGTCAATATATTTTGCGGCGGTAATCTGGCCAATCAGAGCACGCTGCTCCGCGGCAGATCTGGAATGGCCATGTTTGGGAAATACGCATCCCGTGTATCTCGTGCTCATCGGACGGAAGCGAGTCAAATCAAATTTGGGGGTTTTACGTGTCAAACCAAGGACGAGCATCTGGCACGCCCCAGTGGAGGACTGAGGATTAACTTGGAACACCTGGGGATCCTTTGAGGTGCTACCGAAAGCTCGATTACACGGCGCCATCTCCGCAATAATCCTCCGTCAGAATGCGGGCACCTCGGCCGGGATTCGAACCCACCACATGGGCATCCGTAGGCAGGCGCTCTCTCCTCGGATCCACCGAGGCGGCTGGAAGTGAGTCAAAAAGAGATGACTGCGAGCACAAAAGAAACGTCATTCTCTAAGCGTGAACCTTGAGAGCGGGATTGTAATACTGTTAAAATTTGGGCTAGTTGGTGAAGCATGTTTACGGGTCAAACAGCGCGAACACGGGACACAAACAGAGGGCACGGGACAGAAAAGAAGCACACATACGGGAGTGCTCCGTCTGTCTGCGTCTGTCTTTGTCCATCTGTTGCCAGATGGTCCCACCAAAATGCCGCCGAACGACTGGGAGGTATAGCCCAAATATAGCCAAAGCCGTCAACAAAATGTAGCCCGAAATAGCCAGGACTAAAAATAGTTTTAAGCCTCATATTCACAATTTCTCACACTCATACAATACACATTACAATCTCTGTTTCAACCCTCAGATGCGCCACCTTTTGTGTACATTATGTTACTTGTGAATTTTGCAAACAAAGCTTGGGCAGGATGAAAATTCGCACAAAACTGACCCTTCCTTCGTAGGTTTTCAGAAGTACAAAACACAGAAAGACAGCTTTATTGTGAAGCCCGGGAGATATGATCATACAGTAAAACAACAAAATACAGAAGTCAGAAGCAGAATAGTCAACGCTGGGTGTTTCAAACCAGAACCCCAATATCTTTGGTCCTTGCTAATTCTCCACCCGTCCCTTTTTCCTTGGGAAGAATATTAGTGTCACCCATTCGTGTTATCCGCCATTTCTGATTGTGTTGTTCTTTCTTGGGGTGGGAAACGACTGGAAGGTAGTCAATTGTTTAACGGTGAAACTGCGGACTTCTCATTTTTACAAAATCGGGTGCCTCAAGATTCTCACAATGGGCACCAACGCAGCATTTGGAGAGTTCAGTCTACGTCCGGGCAGAGTAATATGCGTCCGGGTTGAAGGTGCGCTACCGGGCCTGTGGTAATAGTGCATTATGTTTGGTTTGCTCCACTGCGCTGTAGGGAGACCGCTTGAACTCTGCAAGCATTGCTTCGCTGCGCATTGTGAAAACCCCGAAGTTTGTAGAAGTTCGCAGCCTTTCCCCTTCCTCTCTTTCTTCTCTATTACCCAAAAGAGATACAATTTTGTTTTTCGAAACTGAATAAAAGTTTGAAAATTAACTAGCCGAACCTCAAAGTTCGGTGTCGAACCTAAGGTTTGACAAAAGTTCGCAGCATTCTTAGAAATAGCCCAAAATAGCCACATAGCCAACCACGAAATTTTGACGCCAACTAGAAACATATGTAGCCCAATTTGGCTATATATAGCCCAATCCGGCAACACTGGTCCTTGTTCGCGCTGCTTTACCCGTAAATTTTGAGAGCGGCCGCCCGCCATCAGATGGCGCAACCAGTCATTCCGGCTGGTGCACGCGCGCTACGCAAACTATTGTTCCCAACTTACATGAAGTGAGCGCAAGGTAAGCAGGTGCAGAATTAGAGTAGGCATACCAAATTCCAAAAAAAGAACGACAAAAATTAAAAGGAACTTGATAGTTTACTAGGACACTTCTGAGTTCCTCAAGCCTTGGAGTGCGCTGGGTGTCTTGGGTGCATGAGCGAAGGGGGTGCTGACGTGCCGCGGTGCGAGGATGAGCCGGTGGCGGCTCGAAGTCCAGAGACGTCGGAGTTCGGTGAGAAGGCTTTTTTGTGTCTTAGGAGCTGGCCCAGAAACACGCAAACCAGGCTTTAAATCAGGCCTGGGTACTGAGTAGGATCGTAGGCACACTGGAAGTGAGGAGAGCTCGGGTCCGTCGCACGTTGGCTTCCACTTCCACGCCTTGCTGCCCCCGGCGGGGCCCCAAGTTCCGAACGAACCAAACGTCATTTGTCGTCTCTCGTCGAACACGCACGCGCATAATAGAACGTGCGTGGCCCGTACACGGCATGTGCACATTCCAAGCCACATAATGCCGAGCACACATTAGCGGATATCATGCGCTACGATCGCATCCATGTAAACGTAGCCACGGGCTGTAGACTGTGGCCACGTGGGCGTGAATGTAATCGTTGAATACGTCTACATGAATATGATCGCAGCGCATCGAATCGAGCGGAGACCAATCGCACGCAGCCTGCCTTGCTACTTTTAAGTTTGTACACATTGAGTATCAATCAAAATAGTCAAATCCCGATTCGATACGCTACGGTCACATCCGTGTAAATGCAGCCCCAATCTAATTGTGAAAAGTGAAGTTCCTAAAATTTGTATTCCAAAGAAAACTATTTTTTTTTCGGGAAAATCGAATGCCGTTTCCCTCCACACATGCCAGAAATACAATACAGCACGTATTCCATACCACCTTACCTCAGACACTGATGTGCGGTAAGACAAATAAATAAACATTGGGGTCGACGAGCTAAGGCCCGAGTCACAGAGCAGCCATTCTTCGAGCCACATTTTTATATTTTTATCCTTTTCTCTTTTTTTTAATTTTTTTTTTTTTTTTTCGTTTGCGGTCTGCCGAGACAATGCTCGAAATTTCTGAAGTAGACACTGTGACACTTTGAAGCCTGAACTAACCACTGTCTTTCTCATTTCTCTTGAATTACGAACGCTCAATTTTGAAACCATATGAAACGCAATTCGTAAGCCGAGGAAGTTATTGAAATAGAATCGATAATTTTAAATACATTTTATTACTCAGTTACAAATACCGTTTACAAATTTTATCTTGATAGAGATTGAAATAGATTTCATAAAACAAAATATATGAAGATTGCAACAGGAATCACTTGTACAGCAATACAGCCCAGCTTGTGGTAACTGAACATCTAAACACGAAGAACTACAGAGGAGCTAGACATTTTCATAAATGATAGATTCAAATAAAGGGCACATGACTACGCTTTATTTATCGCCGTCTCCGTAACGAAAGTTACTTCCCTTGATAAGCAGGGCACCAATCTTTCATAAGTCTCTCTTTGGTCTTCTTCATATCTTCCTTCCATTCTAAGAGGCCTTGTTTAATGGTTTCATTGCAGGGCTGTAGAGAAAGAAAATGAAACACTATTTTTATAACTATCATAACACAAAAATCAGCGTTCAAATATATCTCCGTTTTAGTGATTTTTTTTTCAATTACACAGATCCTCTTCACTAATGAAACGCGTGATAAAATATTTACTACAAAAGAGGCCCTAAAATGTGCGTTTTTTCAAATGAGGTTGAAGTAATTGGGACGGGAGTTTGAGAAAGATATATTGTTTTAGTGCTCGCACCACAAAATACACTTTTAGCCTCTTGCCTACTTTAATGAACCTACCGTGCCGCTATTTTCGCACTTTCACTAAAAGATAAGCAACAAGAATTTCTGACGTTTACAAGCTACAAAACATGGGTTCGATTATATTTCCTTATAGCAGCAACAAAATTAGAGCAAAAAGCGGCGTTCGCTTGCCCAATTTACAGACAGAATGGGCAGCCACATGATCTCGAGCCAGTTATATGCCCCCCAACGTTCATCACAGCCGTGCACTGGGGTTGGCAACCCCATCGCACGTGCTCAGCAACTGACAGTTGTTAGGGGTCGACTGTTCCCGCCAATGCAGGGATTTGACTCGAGTCACCACCCGAATACACATTCGCGCATTGATTGTCACAAGACCACGCCGAGTGCTCACCAGTTTTGGGAAGTACTTTGAGTACATTGTACATGAAGTACTACTTCAAGGAGATTTAGAAAGCTGTTGCTTTACTTGAAGAATAATCTTTGAGTATGCACATGTACTTTACTATTTCTTTCTGGCGCTTTCAGAGGAAAGTACAACTCCCGACTTCAAAGTAAATTCCCAATATTTGGTCTAGTTAAATTTGTATCACTAATGAGGCTTTTTCAACTCTGAAGCCACTTGACTTTGTTCAATATTCGCCACCGTTTCCGGAAATAACTGATGCACTCCCGATTATCTCTGGTACAATGCATACGAGTTAAAGAAACACTCTATGGACCGTTTTACTGAAAGAGGGCGAGAGAGAAAGGTGAAAGAGCTACCGGGTTTTCCCCCTTGATGGAGTAGGTAGAAAGAGTGAAAGTCCCGGATGAGAGGCTTCGCCGGTGTTGGGTGTCTGCAGTGCCCGAACTTGGTTCGCGCTTTCTTCTCGGTTTTAAACTCGGAAACTTCATCAGAGCCACGGGCTTCGATGGCGACAGTCCCCCGGTCATTGGGACACCATTGCTCGGTTATAGGGTGCCGAATAACGACAAAAAGCGTCGAATACTGCCCGAGGACCGATGTAGTTTGCATGGAATATAGTTTTGACTTTGGCTGTATCTTTGACTTCGGCAGCTGAGCCTGAGAGCGTGCAGCCGAGGTACCTTCTTGAGCAAAGAGCTCGCACTTGTATACCTTAGTAGTATTGGCATTCCGGTTGATTTGCATGAGAAAGGACTGAAAATAATATATTTAAAGAAAATCTTTAAAAAAAAGAAACAGAATAGTGCAAAATGCGCAAACAGGGTAGAGTGCCATAAATAATAGTCTTATATCGATGATTCATTTGCGCTCGAAAGGGGTTTCAGGCGGAAATGAATCGAGGATATAAAACTATCATTTATGGCACATGTTGTGCTCGAGGCAATGGATTCGGGGGCTCGGAGCCGCAGCATGCTTGTGGGCCACATCCCAGCGAGTCGCGGGCCACGTGTTTCCGACGCCTGGTAGAGGGTAATAAAAGGGCACCTTGAAAGATCTGGTTAAGAACTACTTGTACTTTACTTTGAAAGTGCATTGTGTTTAGAGTACTTCATTTCAAGCACATTGCACCCTGGTCTACTTTTCTTGAAGTACGTAACCACTTATACACTTTGTGCTTTAGTTCAAGTACATTTTATATGTACTTTACCCACCACTGATGCTCACACAGTACTCGTGTTAAATCTAGGAGGTGCATTTGAATATAGTTACTACAAGGCAATCCCGCGACTACGACAATGATACGATACCCGTTACTACATCATTGTGTTTGGCGAGGGAGGAGATGAAAGAAAAAGTCCCCACGTATCGCCGAAATTCCACAGCGGCATAGACGCTTCTTGGTCAGTGGTGTTGTCTTCAAGTATTCTGGGATAGCTCAAGTGCTAGTATGTTTGTGTAAAAAGAAAAAAAAAAGTTCCAACCTAATGACGTTCCTTTGTATGGGAACGCGTCGGTTTAGTGTACAAACTTGAGAAAGACTGAAAAGTCTAACATAACACGAACAGCATATCCGCAAAACTACTTGCTGCCCTCTGTCCTTGTACAGTTTTTTCCTATCTTTCCAAGATCCTTTAAATATTACTATTTCTACTTGATACTGTTGCTAATGTTGCTACTACTGCTAATACTGTTGCTTTTAATCCTGCTCCTAATTTTGATAAAAATACAATCAGCTTTAGTACTTATATCATCATGTAACATATTTTCTACCCTAATAATTATTACAGCAAATCAACTGGCAGCACCAGGTCGTGAATTTTAAGCAGACATTCGCCGGATCACCAGGCTGAAACTCAGACGGTATTGCGCGTGGACAATGCCACCCCATCTATTCCCACAAGTCATCGTCGAGATGGTAGTTTGCCTAACAGCCTCTTCAGTAGTCGACGTGATCATGTGCGGCTGGGTAAAACATTAGATGCGTTATCGATTTCATGAAGCAATTGTCAACAATGTTAAGCAGTTGTTACACGTTACAATTATTTCTTGCTATGTATCGTCAGAAGACTGGATATAAGAAAGGCTCAAGGTAAACACTTCTTATGAGTTGTGAATGCAAAAGCATCAGTGTCGTTGTTGCGCGCGTTTTCGTGAAGTGGGTGCGCCGAGCTCACATCGGCGTGTAGCCACTCCGAGGTATGCCCCAGCGGGCTCTGGTCTCGGAGGCCCGGCCAGCCAACCGCTTCTTTTTCCCGGCACGCTCTGGCGCGGGCACGTAGCGCCATGGTGTGGCTCTCCTTGAAACTGAAACGTGCCGGCCCTATTCATCAGATTTCGGCTTCATTTAGCGGCCGTTTTGCGTGGCTTTTTAAGCGCCTTTATAGCTGCGATGCCTCAGATAGCGGCTTCACTTCGCTTCATGGGGACAGGGGAATTTAGCTGCCGTTTGGCGCGGCTGATGACGTCAACTATCTGATCATCTGAATGTACATGACAAAGATGACTGACTACGTCTTGCCCAGGGGATCCGATGGAAGGGCGCATGGTCTTGCAAACGTAAAAAAATGGTTCGCGTATTAACTTTGCACAGAATAAATGGAGAACCAATAAGTACCACATGTGTTATTGCTAAACAAAGACAAATTCTAAACTTTGTATACAAAATTGTGGCATGTCCTTGGTACAGCAAAAGTAAACAATGAATAACTTTTTGAAAACAAATTAAAAACAGGGCCGGTGTCGTATAATTAATACCCGCAAAAAACAAAAAAAGTAAAAAAAAAAAAAAAAAAAGAGCTCGCAGGCAGCGAGAATATTTTTCGAGACTTACCGGCATACCGCTGGGGCAAATTTTCGGTGCCAACGTCAGCGTCTGGTCAGGATCAGAGCATGTCACCATGCACAATTCAGGACGATAATTAAAAATACCCTGCAATGCATTGGCATATGATGTTACAAATAAAAATTAAAGTAATACTATATCCATTCAACGAGTAAGAATAAAATGTTGAAATGTGGATTGAAAGGCCGGCCCCGTAAGCAGAGAAAAGAAACCCCACCCTCACATTCCCCCTCCTCAACCCTCCCGCAACATAAAAGGAGGGAATCACCTCTCGTTTTTTCCGCGCCATTTTCCGCTCTCCATTTATTTACTTTATTTTTTTTTTACCGCCTGCCGGATATTTTCGTGCAGGTTTGGGGTGGGTACAATAAAAGTGTCAAAGTAAATCCAGACAAAAAAAAAAATCCTTTCCGTGTTATTTTTTTTTTTATTTTTGGAACGCAAACTTTTCGTTTAATCAAAAGGAAACCCACAAATAACGAAACGATTAATCATGGTTAAGGCCAGTCCGAAGGCATGTCCATTGTACGAGAAGCCCTTCAGGTTTTCTTGGCGTAGGTGAGAGAGGAGCGCGGCGTTCAGTGCAGAGAGGGAGCTCCTCAAGGACAGCAGATTGCTGGCAGTCGGACCTTCACCGAGGGGAACTATAATGGCGCGTCCAGACTGGAAGCGGATCCGCGCGTTCTCAACCGCAAAACGACTAGGATCGAGCGGTTGGAGCGCGTTTTTGCCAACCGCTTCGGGACCGATTTTGGCCCAACCGCTTTCACGAACCGCAATACGGCAACCAATCACAACGCAACGCTGACGTGACGTCAGTGACTTTCGAAACAAGATGGCACCTGTCGCTGGTGAGGCGTCCAAGGCGCTCTAGTCCGAGCGTAACAGCAGCCAGATCAACGGAGAAACGCGATGTTCACGTCCGTCACTTGAATCTGCCCCGAAAAGAATTAACTCGTAATCTTAACGGGCTTCGCTCCGGTGATTTGGTTCGGGTAAGAGTTTGTTTATTATTCCGGGTGCCACAGCCCGAAGCTCGCTGCCTTGTTAGTTTCTGCCCGTGGAACGTCGGAACCCGCCCTGATCGATCGCAATGTCAGCTTTTGTACCCACTAAGATAGTCGCGTGAACTATTCAAAGCTTTCGACGCCGTGCCTGACCACCACGAAGGTCGATGGAGACGTCGGGAGCCTGATTGCGTAGCCAGCGCACTACCGCCGAGCGGGCAAGGTACCTGCGCTAGCTCGACCTGTAACGTTTACTGCTAACAAAAGAAACAGAGGGAACCTATCCAAGGAATAAAGTGTACATACCAGATAACGCAGAGGTAATCCATACGTCGTTTATTTGAGCTTAATGTCAAACAAATAGTAGGCTCGATCGAAGCGCGAGTGACGAGAGGAGAGTCCGCCACGAACGAAGCGACGACCGGCTAGCACCGAACACAATCCCGCACACCACGGTCCACGCCACCTCTCACAACGAGGGGGGAAAAGTGGCCCTCTATCCCGAAAACAAGGCCAGCTATTCATGCGGGAAGGATCCACTTCGAAGAAAAGGTCGGGGGCATCCTGTTCCGAGTCAGCAAGGCACGCCTACCTTGGCTTTGCTTGTGGGCGAAGTCAAGGGAATCACAGGCGAGGTTCACGGGTCCAGGCTTTTTTTTTCGCTGCCTGAACTCGTGATGCGTGCGAACGTCCCGGAGAAAAATCTTCAGAGTGCCAAAGTGGCAAGGAGAATAGAAGGGTAGGAGAGGGCATGATTTCCGCCGCGTAGCCTCCACAAGCCATGCTCGCTTGACGCCTCGACTCTTTCTTATTTTTCTCCTTACCCTTCTCTCTTATCAGGCCAACGGGCCAACGTGACCACATCACGTGACCGTAGCTAGTCTTCGTCTCACCTTCGATCTGATAAAACCTTCCGGACGGAGCGCGCGCAAGCCTGCAAGGAATCCTTTTACAATCAACCATCCATCTCACACATTACATGTCACGCGCACCAATTGCCAAAGAGATCTGCGGTTACGCTGGGCACAAAATCGTTTAAACTTTTTATGACTAGGCTTCACCAATATTGCATCGTACCCCCTCCTAGTACTTATAACCTCCTTGCAAAATAGCAAAATTTTGGCTTTGGATCGTCGATTAAAGTGGATTGTGGATTGTAAAACAGGGTTGCCAAACGCAAGTCTCAAAAGATCACGCGTGATTGCCGAGAAACCGCCACCCGCCTCTCGGTGTGTCTGAACGGGGTCTCTTGCGAACCGCATCCGCAATCCGCTTTGTGAACGCGGATCCGCTTCCAGTGTGAATGTGCCATAAGTCCGACAGTCTGTGCGTTCACTAATCTGCCTGCGCACCTGGGTCAGGGATTTTAAATGGAAACTGAAGCGGTTCTGTATTTTAATAAAAACACACAACTCGTCATTTCGCTTCCAGGACCACGAATATCGAGATTTGCTTTGAATTTGGTGCACGGAGCTCGCTGTAGAAAATTTTTTTCAAAGTACCACTGAAGCCCCTTCTTCCCGGAGCGTTACGTCGCAAGATGAGTTTTCGGAATCTCCGCTCTAGCTTATCTTCAGCGCCTATCAAGCTATGGACGCGCACTCTTGCCATTTTGAAAGAGCTCAGAAAAATTACAGGACGTTGCTTAAGCTTTGCCTTTAAGTGTGGAACGCCAAGGCTAAAGGTATTCACACTTTATCGCATGAGCTGAAATGTGTTAACGCCAGTGTGCAAATAGCGCCCAACAACTTTCGGGTTTGAACTAGATGGCGGGTTTCGCAGTATTTGCGCTATCCAATAAACGCTCTATCTTCTGGAAGTGGCCACTTGTAGCACTGTCAGACTTAATTCACTCTTATCACAAAAGAACGATGACTCAGGGATTAGGAAACTTATGGGAACTGGAAGTAAGCTGGCTACCGAATGAATGACCCTATACACTCCGTGCGGGAACTATAGGGGGCGTTTTGAAAAACGCCCGCAGCGCCGCTAGCGGAAGAGCTGGTGTTCGACTGTGAGTCGCGTTCAGCAGCCTGCGGCGCCTTTTCGCATGCCAAGCTGTGGCGGCGGAAGCGCGCACGGACGAAACTTTTGCTTTTTGAGCCGATACGTTAAGGGGGACGTTGCATGAATGCTGGGGCAGACCTAAGAAGGGCATTTAGCTGTTCTCCTCTTCTTATATATTGAGTTTTTGTCGTTATTCGTGGGAATTTCTCTAGTTGCGGCCAAAAAAGGAGTTGGAGCAATTTTCCGAAAAGCAAGACGGCCGCCACCATAATTGCTTTCAGTTGGAAATTTATTTCGCTCGAAGCTGTAAACGTAGGACTGCTAGAACGATGATATTGGAGGCGAGTGAGATGTCCACTAAGTTTCTGCACGAAGTGTGCCAGTTTCATTAAGACAGCAGGTGTGAAAGTTGTTTCTAACGAATAAAGAAATAATGCTGTACGGTATATCCAATATTGGATCCAAAATGTTGTGTTATAGCGGGCAACGCAAAGTGCAGATTTGGGCACACAGGTGCTTGGACTTGACAGTAACATGACACAGCACTTATTATACAAAAAAAAAACAGGTGGCATAGGGAAATTAGGTGAAAATTTGGTTTGGGCAACGTAACTCAATGGGAACCGGTTTTGACCATGAAAAGGCTGTCAAGAGAATACTACTGGTCGGGGGAGGTGGAGACTTTAGAGGTAGGAAGGGACTAGTGGACTGTACTTCCAATTGAAACAACTTTACGAAAGGTGGTTCCAAAGTCGAGAAAACGAAGTTGTCGGTCAACACACGGTTTGGCCGCCAAGGGGTTTTGCGGTCAGCTGTTGTGTAATAACCTGTTGTGCGAGGTGCTGATTTTCGGCCCACAGGTACTTTGACATGACCGTCACTTGGCACAACACTTATTATAACAAAAATAGTTGGCATGGCGAAACCAGGTGGAAATTTAGTTTGGGCGGCGTAACTAAATGGGAACCGGCTTTGACCGTCAAAGGCTGTCAGAAAATACCACTCATCGTGGGAGGTGCACACTTTACAGGTAGAAAGTGACCAGTGGACGGGTACTTCCAGTTCAAACCACTTTGCGATAGGTGGCTCTAAAGCCGAGAAAAAAATTGTTGTCTACAGAACTTGGGGTGTCAGTGTTTCCACATCCAAAAGGAGGCTGATCAAGAAAGACAGCACACCACATAAACTTTCATACTCAAACGCCGATTCTCCAGTGATTCCGAGTTTCATGGTTGTTTTCTTTAGATTTATATTTGTCACTTTTTTTACCGTTCAAATCTTTCTTCATGAAGTACAGATTGCGTGCCATATTTGTCCGGAAATATCATCGACACGGACGATGAGGACGAAACTTCTTTGGAGGGCATTCCTCCAACGAAATTGGCACCGCGAGTGTGGGATGGCATTTCAGTTCGTCCCATCGGCGCTGACACATGTAGGCGTTAATGGTACGAAAACAAACGCAGAGCGCAAAGCGGCAGTATAGAATATGTCAGCCGTGCCGACACAGTGGCAGACATGATCGGGAGAAAAATTTGTCGCGTCGTACGGCACGGCTCCATCGTTGTCGCTGTCCCACAAAACATCGGCGAGGTGAAAAACTGTGAAACTTTGTCTCCACGAGATACGACGCATAACTATTGAAGCACTTAATGACGCAGCACAGGCAGCACTTCATGCTGTGAACCCAGCGCAACAGCACCACTCCGACTTCAACGCGTACCAACGTACGCGGCGTGGTTTCGGTTTCGTTTTCTCTGGGGTTCTTACTACCTGCCTTCGGTACCGGCCGCGCCGCGGCGCGCCAGTCGCGTCGCACGGAGTGTATAGTCAGTTGCTTGACAAAACACGGTGGATAAATCTTTGCTGGTTCCCAAGCGTTGCAACCGTGTTTGCGTGGCCTAGTCGGTAGCGTGTCCGACTCGCAACGGAAGGATCCTGGGGTCGAATCGCCTAAAATTCTTCACATTTTTTTTAAAGGAAAATGAATCAGTTTATAAAGTGAAATCATTTGAGACATGCGGCGGTCGTGTTTTGACCACTTTCATTCCCCGTTTGACGTCGCTTTTCACGTGAGCGCTGTGGGTCGTTTGAAATTCCCGCGTGAGGTTATGTGATTGTGACGTCATGGACCTATCGACCAATCAGAATTTTACCGTCCTCCACCGACGCCGGCTTTTCTGCGACACGAGAGAGCTATCGCTTTAAAATACGTCGCGAATGTTTTCAGTGCGAGACCTACAAGGCTTGGAATTCGCAGCGAGAAGTTTGGGGGTCGCCACATGGTGGAACGTTTTCACAACCCAGAATGAAGATGCTTCAACTTCTTCTGCTGGAGCAAGCGCGTGCAATGACTATACTTCTATGCACTATGAAAACTAAAACAACCGCGTGGGGAGTACGTGCACTACTCAGGGGAAACAAAATGACCGCATCTCCACGTGGTGCTTGATGTTGATTGGTGCGAAGCTCTGGTGGTGCTGATTATACTGATTTTATTGTTCATAGGTAGTCCTGATGGTGCTGAGTTTTTTTATTGCTCATAGGTAGCAATAAAAAAACTCAGGATCTTTCGGCCGCCAATTGCAGCAGGATTAAAGGCACGTTCGCTATGAAGAAATACGCGCGACAAAATGGCTCTGTCTTTTCACGCGAACCGCGTGCACGTCCTTCACGCACGCGCTGAATAAACTGAGCTAGTAGCACCAGAGAGAAAAGGGGTTTTCGGGAATGTTCATACCGCGGAAAACTGCTGAGAAGCTGCATTCAACTTTCCTTGTTATATACAACAGCTGCGCGAAATGCGGCAGCAGCGATTTCCGCCCATCTTTTTTCTCACTATTCTGACATCGACTGCAGCCACTCGGAGGTGCTCATGGCGACCATTGGAAACATATCTGTCGTTGATGTTGGTCCACGGATGTTGTCAATCCTCTGAAAGCAGCCGAATTTCACAATGAGCCAGCTGCGCTCGTGTCACTGTGTCGACTGACCAACAGCCTGGGATTGTTGTTCTATCGCTCTACAGCCGACGTGGCAAATGGTGAACTATCGCAGGGCTCTCTCCTTTCTGATGTAATCTCGGTAGTGAAAAAAAAAGTTTTATTGTTTCAGCGTTTGTCAAGCCTCTGCCTAGTACAACAAGGATGATTGTGAAGAAGTCTGAAACTCGTTCCTGAGATCTCTATCAAATCAATCCTCTTCTTGGGATAATGCTACACCGTGTGGTACGTACAATATTTGAGAAGAGCAAGTCGTTTGCTTCTTGCGGAGGAGTTCTGGTTGAGACGGTTCCGAACATTAGTTCTAGTATTCCAAGGCGGGGGGGGGGGGGGGGGGGGGGGGTGCAATTCCAGATATTGGTTCCATAGTGGAAGGGTGGTGGCTAAAATTTAAGCGGCGGGAGCGACCATGAATTAGCACAGCAAAATATTTCGCGGCCGTCGCCACAATGTCACGTGGCGCCGCGTTAACCAAAAAGACCCTAAATTGCCGGCTAACACTCTCTTCTAAAGAGAGATGACAGAACTTGATACAATTTGTGAGGTGTGCCTTCTGTACATCGCAGAAGTCAACTGGCCACTTCTAGTGAACAAGAGTGCTCCCCCATTCTTCGAGCAAATAGAAAATACGAGCGAGGAAGTTTCAGAGGAGGCGACATTCTCACTCCTTCGCTATCGCACAGTCTTCGAAGGACCTCACGACCTTGGCGTTGCCACCGCCGTCAAACTAAAAGTCGTTCTTGAGGTCGTCCTAGACGTTATTTTTGAGGTCGTCCTCGAGATCGCCCTAGCGGTCGTCCTAGAGGCCATCCTAGAGGTCGTCTTTGATGTCGTCCTCCAGGGCGTCGTCCTCTACGTCGTCTTAAGCGCCGTTCGCATATTTGCAACCGTGTACGGCCGAGAGAGGCAAGACCGGTTTTTAAGCCTCTTGCGACATCTTAGGATCAGCTCCGCAGCAGCGCATCCGGTCCTAAGACGTCGCAAGAGGCTTAAAAACCGTTCTGGTCTCTCTCGGTCGTACTCGGTTACAAGTGTGTGAACGAGCTTTTAGACGTCGTCCACAAGGTTGTCCTAAGGGAATCCTATCGCAATTCATAGACAAACAACAATAGTAGTTTCTGCAGCAATATCTTATCTGCAGGTTTGCTCGTTTGCTCACTTCAACGCTACGCGCTCCTTCCTGTCCGATTTTCAACGGAAATAGACGCCGCTCCGGCAGCTCTGGTTGCACCACCTTCGCGCATCGCTCTGGACAGCCGCCGACCTCGCGTGCTCTGCGCCACGAGCATCTTACGCAAAAATCAAGCGCCCCCTCCCCTCCCCATTTCTTGTACGACCCACATGTAATTATGGGGAATTTATGCAGCATTGTGCACCTATGCACCAACCATTTTTTTATTTTTTTATAAGTGTGGTACAGTGCTTTCTAAAGATTGATTGGAAAATACATACATACATTAGTGGGAAAAGGCGAGAATATAACCACCAGCAATATCTGACATTGCGCCCACGCAGGCTGCTCCTATCGAAATCAACACTGCACTCGGTTAGCGTCAGCAGGGACGCCGTGGCGTCAGAGCCGCAGGTAGCTGTATAGGGAAGGGCTGTTAGTGTGTGAGTTGATCAATGACGGTGGCAGTCGTCAAGCGCACCGTAGAGCTCTGTGGGATTACGCCAGGCGTTACCTTGAAAGGTGTGGTATTTTTCTTGTGAAAGAACGAGCGGGACATCAGCGCAAAAAAACGGATGAGCACCAGAGGTCGGCAATTTAGGTCGCGCTCACTCACCCTCACCTTCACAGCCACACTCCCCTAAGCCCCTCACTCACCCTCACCATCACAGCTACACTCACCTTCAGCCCCTCACTCAACCTCGTCCTTACAGTTACACTCATCTTTAGCCCTTCCCTCACCCTCACTGAACCTCACGGCCTTCTCGCCTCTCACCGTCCTCACGGCCCTCACGCACTCATACCCCTCACGCACTGATGGCCCTCACGCCCTTCACACCAGTCCCGCACTCACCGCCCTCACGCCATTCGCGCACTCACCGCCCTCGCGGCCCTCATGTACTCCCGGTCCTCACGATCTTCACAGCCCTCACGACCCTCACTCACCCACTTACTCGTGAGTTTTCCTGGTTCAGAAGCTCACTCACCCCCAAATCACCTATGAAGATGAGGGTGAGTGAGGGTAAGTGAGGGCCTACATGACTGAGATTTGCCCAGGTATGATGACCACCACAAACTTCAGGCATTCGTACGTGCCAAGGATTGTAAAATATTTTTACGCAAGAAAATTTTTCCACAATAAAACCCTTCAGAATTTTTAATTCCAGGAATTTTCATTTCTTGAATACCTACTGCTTTCTAGCTTGTCAAACTACTCGGTCTACCTGACTCCAGTAGAAATGACGATACAAACACAGTGCCGTGTATTTCCGCCTTATGTGACCTTGTGTTTACACGATGTGTCACTGACTTGTGTGGAGATCTGGATGCCCTCCCCCGCGCTGACCCTTCGGGCCCCGAATTCCGGCAACTCGGACTCAACGCCTCCGAGATGCGTCATCCCTCGGTGGAGCGGCGATGGCCTCGCACACCTCAAGATCTGGCCACGCCGCTCCCCTGAGCCAACTTACGTCACGGGACTGGCTTCCCACAACAAAGGGGCGAAGGCTTGAAAGGGGGACGCGGGACAAAGAGGAGTCCCTCTCAGACGGCGACTCTCTCGGACGGCGGACCGCAACGAGCGTGCAGAGTTGACAGGACGCTGGCGCGGGATTCGGCGGGAGACGGACGCTGGAGCGGGGAAGTGCGGGCGCTTGGTCGAGCGGCGGACTCGGTGAACAGACGGGACAGCGACCCTGGACGACGACGTCCCCACGACGCGGTTTGGACGAACACCGCTTGGAGATGGAGCAGCTTCAGTGGCAGCGGACTTCCCAAGGCCTCGCTGTTGACCGTTCCCCGATCCCAAAACCCCCAGGCAATAAGTGAGTGATTAAATCGTTTTGCCGAGAGCAAAGCATTGCTTTGTCATGTTCATCCGGGGACAGGGTCTGAGGGAATCGGAGTGAGGAGCCTGCACTTGGCAACGTTGTCTGTGTTTCCTAAAATATTACGGGTTTTCATGCCAAACGCAGTTTTTTTTTAGTAAAAACGGTATTAAATAATTAGACTTCGCATTATAAAAATATCTAGAAAGTCGATTTGAATTATCTAAAAATATCTCATTTGTATTTGATTCCTCGCAATACTTACCTTAGATCCATGAAGTTGGCAAAGTATAGCTCCGGCCGGATCTACATTATGCCAGCACCTAAAATCCTGTTCAGTCCCAGACAAAAACCCCTCTGAAAAAAGAATGTGTGAAGGTCAAACCAGGCAAGGAGATTATTGTAAGTTTTAATCCCTGGAGAACGGAGAACAAGGGGAAGAAAGAACAAACACAAATCTCCAAACACTATTAGGAGATTTGTGTTTGTCCTTTGTCCCTCTTTTCCCCTTCTCTGTGAATTATTATCGTTGTTCTTGTTCAGCACGCTTGCACCTTTGCAATATTTGTATGATCTTAACAAGCACAGTGCATTTGCGTTAAAATTACGTAAAATGGTGCTACGTTTCTAAGTTAGCAGGGAGAAGTTCACCTAATTAAACTTTGCATTTAAGTTCTTCTTTTGTCAAACATTTTTATTGGTAGTAATAATCCTGGTAGTGTCTAGAGTACCATCCGACGGCACTCTTGCAGAGTGTTCAAGTGCCGTCCGACGGTACTCCACTCGCGCGTTCAAGGGCCGTCCGAAAGTCTCGTATAAAACGAGTTCTCAAAACGTCGTTTTCGAAGCGAAGTGTAGCGTTGTGGTAAGATGTCTTCTTCATAAGCAAGAGATCCCGGCTTCGATCCCCAGTGCGGGCTTGCTTTTTTGTTTTCGTTTTCTCGAACATTTTATTTTGCCGACGCCTTTGGCGATAGTTACATTTATTTTTTTACGATTAACACAGGAAAAAACGAATGTTCTCGCCGAAATTTCGCTGAACGAAATGGTATGGGACTTCGTTTCCGGAGGTGCATCGGGTACAGCGGGGCTTGGTTTGCCGGCTGGACGCCGCGAAGCGGCGTATACGACAGGGTCAAATGGGTCAATAGTATTGTAAATAGCAGCCGCTTACTGTCGCCGCGAAGCGGCGTGAACACAGGCGGGGTGCTGTGTTAACGAGCTCCCCAGTGATACACGCGCCGTCCGACACTCGGACGGCACTTGTAGGCGCCATTGGAGTGCCGTCGGACGGCACTGTAGACACAGCCAATAATCATTTCAGGTAATTCAGCAAAACATTTTAGTGGCAGACGTGCCAAGTCGGCCGTCTGCACAAAATATTCTGATATCGATAAATATTATCATGTGTTATTTTTAACATTACACGTAACTTGCATTTTTTATAACTGATTACTTAAACCTCTCCTAGCAAAACTGCAATATTCCGGGGGGTTGCAACCAATTCATTTGCGACATCAAGATTATCCAATTCCTTGACCCGATGTATAGAAGAAAGATTTGCTGTTTAACAGTGCAGCCTGTGTGAGACTCTAAAGGCCTGTTCACACGTGCAGCGGAGCGCTACAAGCATAGCGCTAACCTCGCGCTAAGCGCGTGCTGACGGCAGCGTTCACCAGCTTTGTATTGCACCGTCAAAACTGTTGCTCATGGCAGACGATAAGTGGCTGATGACACGTAAAGAGCGCTACATCAGCGCTTCGCTGCATGTGAGAACCAGCCTTTAGAGGTGCCCTGAGGTGGTTTTTGAGATCGCCTAAATATGGCGAATAACTCACTATGCTGGCTCTAAGTATCCCCAGAAATTCCTAAATAACTACAATACGAGGCCGATTTTCCTATTAAAAATGCAATTAAAAATCGCGACACACAGAGTTCGTCTCAGGCGATGGGAGGAGCATGTTCCCACTGTCAGCCAATGGCAAGCGAAGGATCCTGACGCCTACCGAACGGTGTAACCACTAGTGTTATCTCAAATGCGCGCAGCTCATTGCCCTAACAGTTCGGACTATGACGGACCCATCTCACCAGCCAGTTCGACTACGCCACCGCTGGCGCAATGCATCGAGGGAAATTTAGTCTTGGGCTCGCGCGACAACCTAACTGGAGCTCTCCGCTACTCTGCGCGTGTAGAGCACGAGACGGCCCGAGCCCTCTGGTGCACTGCCGGCTGCCTCCTGTGAACTAAAGTTATGGCGGCGTCACGCATGAGTCGAACGCTTACCGCTCATTCACACTGGAAGCGGATCCGCGTTCGCAAAGCGGTTGCGAACGCGGTTGTATAAAGATCCAGTACAATTGCACGCGCACTTAATGTCATCGAGTGCGCGTGCAATGGATCTTTATACAACCGCGTTCGCAACCGCTTTCCGAACGAAGATCCGCTTCCAGTGTGAATGAGCGGGTGAGATCGGTCTATTCAATTCAGTGAGCGCGCGCTCAAGAGCTCACGACCGGACACAAAAATCCCGCGAAAAAAAAATCAAATACAGTGCGCTTTTTTTAGACGATTATTGTAATATTACGTTCCCTCCCCGGGAAAAAAAAAAAGTTTTTCGACTACTTTTATATGTATTTATCATCTACAAAAAAGCATACACGTTTTGTAATAACAGGGTCTGGAATTTTTTCATTGCTCACATGTCTTCCTGGCTGCCAAGACAATGCTCCTCCAATCGCCAGAGATGACTTCGGTGTGTTCCATCTTTGTTGTTTTGTTTTAAATAGGGAAATCGGCCTAGCATCACTATGATTTACAAATTTTTAGGATGCTTTGAGCCCGTAGAGAGAGTTATCGCCGTATTTAGACGATCTCAGAAAACTCTTCAGCGCAACTTTAAATGCTATGCGATGCACTGACTTCCTTCTGGGAAGATATGTGCTAACATAGCTTGTTACAACCTCTTCGGACACCTGATGTTCTAAAGCATTCGTTGCAATATGAAACGAAGTTCAGAGAGCACCGGTGGCATCCAATCACAGGTATTTCTTAAAGAAGTAATCCTGGTAAAACTATTTCGAGGGAAACAATCTTATATGTGTTCAATATCTACAACTTTAATACGACTTACCGCCTTGAAATGCCGGTAGAATGAGTACCACGGCGTAAAGTACGAGAAGCATGATGCTTATATTGCGATACATAATCCCAAGCTAACGGGAACGTCCTCCTAAAAGAGAAACAATAACATAAATATATAGCTTCGAAACTCGACATTACAATTGTTTCCTCGGAATGCAGAGGCAGCATGTTTAAAAGAAAAATTCTGCGAAACATTTATGGTGATCGCTTTTTGTTAAACATTCACCGCGTAATAAATATTTACCCCTGAATAAGTCTACAAATGATCTCATCCAAATATGTGTTTTCTTTTTAGAATACAAAAATTAAATTTTACGTGTCTGAATCCCTGACTGCCGCTCTACTGGCAACACTGAGTAGCGGTGGCGTTGATTTTGACGTCAAATGTTGTATCCAAGAGTAGACCGATCCCTCCTCGTTGTGGTTTGTAGCAGCTCCTCGCAAAAGCAATTTCTATTGAACGCGACCAGACTGGCATAGACATTCTGTTTCGCAGTCAAACATAGTTTCTAAAGTTGGCTTCACTTAGCATAGCGCTACGCTCAGGGCCGGACACGCGCTAACCTTTTTTTCACTGGACCTCGAACTTTAGAACACAGATCCCCTCCATGCGCCGGCAAAAATCGTCGCGATCATCTCAATTCCAGCACGTCTACGCACAATCCGCAGGAAAGCGAAGAGCGATTTGATATTAGGAGGAACGAAAAATACTTCTCATATAAATGTTATCAATTACTGTCTCTGATGAACGTCGTCTCATAGTGATTCCCAGACCGCCGCGAACACGCACGCTTTGCAGAGGCATTCCAGAGTAGACAGAAGAAAAACAAGGCGTCGTTCTGCCGCCATGGCAAAACGACGCCGTTGTCGCTTCCAACTGCGGGAAACACGATTGAAGCCAAGCTCCCAGCAACTTCTGCAGCTCGAATGACGAGAAACGCCACACAGAATGCTGGACGCGGGTAGGTTAGCCGACAAACCCCTTCGATACCATTCTACTCTCGAGGCGGTACCTGGGTCCACGTGTCGTCGAATCGCGATTGCAACCTTAAAAAAACATATGAAAAGAAAAGTTCTAACATCCCGAATGGGTGAGGTGCGTCTTAAAATAAATTTACAGCGTAAAAAGATATTTTTAGAGCCATATTTACCGCGCAAAACAAATGTGCAGTTAGCGTCCGGGGTTCCGCCACCAATCGCATGGTAAACCTTTGCGGCGCCACGCTAAGCCGTCGCCGCCGCAAGTTACGCTGGAGCCGTTCAGCCAGCCGCTGAAGTCCCCAGAACAAGAACCCCCTCGCCGCCGAAGCACGCTGAGCTTGGCGCGTCACCGGCCGAATGCGTTTCGCCGCGCCGCCGCCGGAAGGGCGCACCCGCCGTCGGTTTCTTACAGGCGCGGGCCTATCACATGGTGCTTGCGCAATTTCCGGAGCTTCTAAATCTTCTTTTCTTTTTTTTTTTTTGCATTCGAAACGAAGATTAATACGTAACTTTTAGAGCCCAGAGGAAGCTCTCGAAAGAGCGCAAGCACCACATGATTATTGTTACCAGTCACGTGACTGTACTAGTCGCCTTTCCACGGGCTCTTGCGTGCGTCAACTACAAATTCGTTTCGCGCCGTAAAAATAGCCCTAACATATTTGAGTTTTCGTTATACATTCGTTTTATGACAGCTTAAAAGTCAAATTTGGGGGTTTTGCGTGCCAAACCTACGACGGGCATCTGGCACGCCCCAGCGGAGGACTGAGGATTCATTTGGACCTCCTGGGGATCTTTTAACGTGCAATCGAAAGCTCGGTTACACGGCACCTCCTCCGCAATAAGCCTCCGTCACATTGCGGGCACCTCGGTCGGGATTCGAACCCGCCACCTGGGGATCCGTAGGCCGGAGCTCTCGCCTCGGAGCCACCGAGGCGGCATTATGACAGCTCGGTTTAAAAGAAGAAACAAGGCCCAGAAAGGACCGAAGCATATTTGTAATATTTTACGACGTATATTTTTGTTAGAGGGTCAACCAGAATATTAGATTAATATATTTTTTTGAGCCAGAAAAAAACCAAAGAAATATAGAGATGGGACTAGCAAAAAAAAAAAAAAAAAAAAGCGAACAAAATTTCAGTTGCAACATCGATTTTCTAATGCTTTGACCTACCACTCTCGTAAAGGCCCTGTCACACTGAGGCAACAGTTGGACAACTCTATCCGGGAACACGGGAAAGTCGTGTTGCCGGCGACCCTGTCACATCGAGGCAACAACAACAGTCGGGCAACATGTTGCTGCCGCCCGGCAACCGTGTTGCCCGATTTGTTGTCCGACAACCCTGTCACACCGCGCTGAGGGCGAGGACAACACGGGGAACACTCCGCCATCTTGATTGTTTACCTTCGTTCGTGTGCGGCGCGAAATCGCTGGAAATGTGACTCTACAAAGTGCTAGTGCGTTTGAAGGGCCGGGAATTACCACGGTACGACATCAACCAGTGACTGTGATTAGAAAACTTGACACAGGGAGTATTCTTTGCTCTTTATTTTATCGAAACTTTCTTCATTCGCTGACAAAGCAGATAGCCCTAACCGAGGAAAGTGACATCGCTTATGTATTTTCGGGATTTACGCCACCGTATGAAGTGATTCCGTCCGGTTCTTTCATGCAATTCATATTTCTACTGTAAAATTGCGTTAGCTCCGGAAGTACCCCAAAGCGTCTTTTGTAACGTGGTGTTGAGCTGAACTGACAGTGCTTCAAAAGTGCGACACCGACACAATCGGCCTTCATAACAATCGGTGAAATAAATATTTTTCAACACTGTCTACTGGCCTACCGCTGCTACGTGATCGCTTCATTCCCCCAAAACGTCCTGGGTATTTTTAAAACAAATCAGGTGTCTGGTACCGGCTGTTTCCAAGTTCCAAGCATCAACAATCATGATCAGAGTGGTCCTTTTATGCTTCGATTTTTTAATCTTGGGTTTTCTGGGTTATTTTTATTATGCTTTATTAAAGGGTGGGTAGGCATGCCCTTTTATTTCACTTTCCGTAATGTGCGCTGGTCTCTCGGGAGTTCTAATTTCAAAACCAGTCCGAACGTTCACGACCGTAGCTGTGACCATTTCGAAAATCGCTTTCCGTAACTGCGCAACAAAAACATTAATCGAAAATATTTTTGCTGCACGCCAGCCCCAAATATTGTTAAATAACGTTTTCCAAGCCATTGTTTGAGTAAGACTTTATTGATAGGGGACCAACTCTACCATCGAATCTATCTATGTAGTCGTGTTGCCGGCCCGAAATTCGCTCAGCCAGCGATCAGGGCAACACTCGTTGTCCAACACAAGTTGCTGCTGTTTTTGTTGCCGAAAGCTGTCATACCGAGGCAACATTTTAGTTGTCGTCCATGTTGTCGTGCTGTTGCCGCGGTGTGACAGCTTTGTCGGACAAAACGGAGAGCGAGCAACAAGTTGCCCGACTGTTGGACAACGTGTTGTGTTGCTGTCGCCGTCGTGTTGCCTCAGTGTGACTGGGCCTTAAATGCTCCTTTTTTTTTTTTAAGTGCTACACTTTATCATAGGTTCAACAGGACAAAACGAGACATGTACAGCTTACCCCCCCAAAACGTTAATACCGTTCCTGGTTACTTGCTAAAAAAAATAACTAAATACGTTACTCGTTAAGGATTTTCAAAGGGAACGCGTTAGTTTACCTCCAAGGTAGCGAGTTACTTTTCCCGTTACTTGGACAACGAAATACACAACTGCTTTCGTTTCATGGTTCGTTGTTTCATACTCGGCAGTCGTTGCACTTAAATAGCTGCGTCTCGAAGTTTCCGTCAGTTATTGTTCCCCGCTTTCTTCACAATAGATTTCCGGCGACGCAAAGGAGTGGTTCTACTGACGAGCTCGAAGGAACGGCATTGTTCCAGGAAGAGCAGGTGAAACTGGGATTCTCCTTTCACTTAGTTCGAAGTTGACTATGGGTTCTGTGCCTTCCCGCGTTGGAAACCCCCGGGTTCACATTCAGTCTGTACACGAATCTAGAAGGTTCAACCAAACATTGTGTTCGCTGGGAGATGAACTGTAGAGTTCGCCTGACGTGTTCCGCCATAAACGTTGCTATACCTTCATAAGGTTTAATTGTTTTGGGGGTTGCCCACTTTCCCTTATCGCAATAAACAGATACCCAGGTTGGAATTGATACGATGCTGTTTAAACGTTGTTCTACACGTTACTCCTCAAAAGTGAAGAAATACCGTTACTCGTTAGTTGACCTTATAAGCAACAAAGTACGTTACTCTTTTCTTTTCTGAAAAAAGTAACTAAATACCGAAAAAAAGTAACTAGGTAGGAGCAATTCGTTACTAGTCACGCGTTGCGTACATGTCTGGACTAAACACCCGAGAAAGCAGGTAAAAAACGAAAGAAAGACTGAAATGTCAAAAGTGTGTGTCGGCTTTTTTTCCTTCAGTATCGTTTTTTTTTTTTTTTTCTCATCATGGACAGATCGTTTGCACACTTACATTCAGTTCATTAACTTGGGTTCCTTTTCTATTTCCTCAGCTATCTGAGAGAAGCCCCTAAAAAGATATAGCGCGTGAGTACGCATTCGTTATTGCTAATTTTAAGACATAATTAGGTTTCTCAGTCGTTGGAAAGGCCAAAATAGCCCCCAGGAATAATCTTACAACGTAGCTCGAAAAGCCGCCCTACAGCAGTCCGTTATTCAAGCAAAGAGTGCTATGAATACAATTTCACGAGCACACATTGAACTCTAGGCGCCTCTAACAGCGCGGCATTGGGACGAAAACTAAAACAAAGCGTTGCAATATCGAGGAGAACTTACGTAAGGCTTTCTTGCTTCAAGAATCTTGAAGTGGCGATTTCTAGCGTGAGGTGGGGAAAGTTTGCTGGCTTATTTATATCCCAGGTTGTAGGCGTGTCTCTCGCAACGGGCGGTTCCTGAGAATTTTCCCGCCAATGGTAGCTTCGGAAGCAGGGGGCCGAGACAAAGACTGCACCTGTAAACTTGGCCCTTACACTCCATTCGAAGAGAATTTTGCCGCCCTTGAAAAAAAAAAATACACCAAACAATCTGCGTCAAAGAATTTTTTTTTTTTTTTACCGCAGTTTGCATTTGTGTAAATTTCTTAAACGATGTTTAATTCTTCGACTATTTTTCGAAGCAAGCGTATGGCACACCTCTGAAAGATAATACTCTACCTTGTGTACACCACCTAGAGGCAAAGTCTATGCAGGGATTTGTCTTACAGAACTGTTAGGTAACGCCAGACAGGCCCAGGGTAGTCTTCAAGACAACGCAGGGCAGTGTGTGTTCCACTTCGCGTTCCACTGCAGCCTACCCCTACGACACTATGTAGTCAATCAAACAACGCCGAAAGAGCATCGTCACGGCGCTTATCGTTCATACGCGTTTATTACAACCGGCAAAACAAATCATGTAGAGTAAATGCCGTCCCAATCTTGCAGTTATTTCGGTACGTGATTGATTTTCCCGCTGATAGCAAACCCACGAAAACAACGAGAGTGGTAGCCGTCCACTTTTGGCGTTCCTTAATTTGACTCCCTGGAATCCTAACATCGGGTGCAGTCGGACTTCAAGTGAAAGGGAGTATAGGGTGTTTTCACTTGACGTCAATCCGCCATTTCGCTGTTAGTTTCAAACACCTTTACCAATTTCAAGGATTACATCGCAACCTGTTGAGGAGATGTCAGAGTGGTAAGACGTACGTATAAGCTTCTATGCTCTACGCCAGTGGCTCTCAACCATTGATGATTCGCGGGCCCCTTGTTGATCGGCCGAGACGATGAATGGCCCCGTTCGTGTTAAGGGGAAGGGAAAAGTAAAGGCTATTTATGACAATGATTTAACAAATGAATATTACTAAGAGGTGGTGTGAAGTAGACTTTTCTCATTGACATACACGAGGAAACTCACCCTAAAATCAGAACGCTTCTTCTCAATCGGATAAAAGACAACTTTTATGGCTGTGCTTGACTGACGAGGCAGGGCTTTGCGGACCGTCAGAACGCCTTCGCGGACCCCAAAGGGTCAGCGGACCCCCATTTGAGAACCACTGCTCTACGCATATGAAGAGTCATGCAAAATCCTCCAAATGCTCGCCTTCGGCACACGCCTGACAGCTCACAACAACAAAATGGTGAACGAAATTAGGTCAGCGAAAACACCCTGTAGTGAGCTACACACTGTCAACAAGTTTTCTGTTGCTGGCTTAAGGCCCCAGCTGTGAGCATGATCTGAAAGGGAAGCAATTTGAGTTTGCCAGGAATAGGGTACAAACGATCCCTGGGGCTGTTTACTCTGCCAGATAAATGATTCTTTAAAGACACCTAAGACTCTTTACGTGTAAGAATGCAAAAGCATTCCTACAAGCAGCACGCCGCCTCTTCCTTTTTCACACGGCGCTCCGACGGTGACATCACGCTCCCCCCCCCCCCCCCCCCCCCCCTGCGCATGCGCGGCGTTCCCTCCGGCTCCGCGGCTGCCGTGACGATGCATCTGTGTTGCTTTGCTATTCTTTGCGTTTTATTTCTGAGGCGCGTCCGGTTTGACCTTGAGCGCCTCCGCCAGCTTCCGTGACGAAGCGTCTGATATGCATTGAACCATGGTTAAAAGCGCAAAAAAAAAGACGTACACAAGATAGAAGACAAAAGCAATAAAGAAAAAAAAAACAGATAGAAGACAAAAACGGGCGCTACTCAAAACTGTATTGGGAAAGGAAGATGGAAGTACACTTATGGTCACCCAGGCTACTCATGTCCATTTTATCAAGAAAAGGGGACCTCAGTGCGTCAGCGACAAGTCAAAAGCATTGTATAATGCTGAGACTCGTTTTTTCGATAAATATATGGTAAGCAGGTTTACGCTATTGCATCTCGCGGAGTAGTAGCCTGGGTGACGATAAGTGTATCATATATATATGTGTGTATTCCCATCTTCCTTTTCCAATACAGTTGTGAGTAGCGCCCCGTGTTTGTCCTCTATCTTGTGTACGTCTTTTTTTTAGCGCGTTTAACCATGGTTCATACAGTCAACACCAACTAGCCCAACAACAAGTTCTTTTAGAGTACATCTGATATGACGCGTCGAAGCCAATGGGAATTTAGTGCTTGTTTCGCTGCTACAGACAACGCCGGCTTCGCTCCATCGGTCAGTTAATGTGCATTAAAAATCTTTTGTTTCACCTACGTAGTGATGCCGCCGCAGCTAAATGAAGGCTGTGAAGGCCAGGTGGCTAGGCTCGTAAAAGTTCGATTTAGCTCTGGGAAAAAAAGAAGAAGAAAAAGCTTAGTTTCTTGACATAGTCGAAACATGCCGTGTCCGTGTAGTTTAGAAGCAATTGTAAAGTTACTGCGGGTAGAAATTGAGTGAAACAAAATATTGAATAAAAATACTATTGATGGGTTACATCTGATGAGGAGATGTAAAAACGTCCGAGACTCATTTAAATCATTTACGTGTTTGCTGAATTATTAGACGCGCAGAACGTAGGCTCCAACCCAGAAAGCTCAAGGTTTGATTCCCATCGAAACCAGGTTCTGCTGTAAATTATTAAATTTTTATTTTGCTCATTAGCATATTTCTATGATGCAATCTCGCAATTTTTAAACTATTGTGTCTTGAAGCACGCTTTTTGGTTTATTCCTCGTTGCTCCTTCACCGACATAACGCCGACGCCTAGGCGGCAAAGAAGGATAGTAGCAGTTGTGGGAACCTCGTTTTCCCCGCATCCCTATCTAGGCCTAGCTCAGGCAGGCCGTGGGACGTCGCCACGTGAGGGCGCGTCCCGGATGCGAGGGCGAAGCCCTATTCCCTGGTGGGCGGCTTTCGCTCGTACTTCTCGGGTGATTGGCCTAAGGCAGACCCCTCGGGATCATGACTTGGACGCGTCCGCCCCTCCGGGGAGCCACCTACATCCGACCCAGCCCGGGCGCGTCCATTCACAAAACGGCCCTAATCCAACGGGCGGGACTCTCACTGAAAGAGGCTCTGCTCGACGGAGCCTTCATATCCTTATCTGATCCCCCCCCTCCGTGATACTGTCAATACAGCATAAAGGTTTTTTGCGCGACACAGGGGACAATTACAAGCGAGTAGACACGGACAAGCGCAAACTTTCAACTACTTTATTCGTGTGCAATCGACCACGAACATCCAGAAAGAGAATGCGCAGCACGCTACACAGACGAAAAAAAAAATAACAGAACATAGATAGTAAAGTCATCCACCAAGACACATTCACGATAGTCATTATCGACAGTCGGCACAGTGAGTAGGCAAGTGCCTACTCACTGTGCCGACTGTGGGTGTGATGCGCGATTTCAGGAGATTGGGATCTTGGGTAGAAGCAAAGACAGCACAGCCAGAAAATTGATGGAAGCTTTTTATATAAAGAAGAACCATGACTGTGTTATCGATACCTCGGTTTCTTTGTTTGAAAGTAAAGTGCAGTCTTTATCCGGGTTGCTGGTTCGATAATGACTATCGTGAATGTGTCTTGGTGGATGACTTTACTATTTATTTTCTGTTATTTTTTTTTTCGTCTGTGTAGCGTGCTGCACATGCTCTTTCTGGATGTTCGTGGTCGATTGCACACGAATAAAGTAGTTGAACGTTTGCGCTTGTCCGTGTCTACTCGCTTGTAATTGTCCCCTGTGTCGCGCAAAAAACCTCTATACTGCATCATGAACCAACTAGGCCAACAAGAAGTTTTAATACTGTCAATAGCGGCAGCGCGGACTCCGACTGGCGATCCTGTCAAAAGAGACAGCGCCGTCATCTCCAACATTGTTGGACTTCGGGCAAGCGTGTGGCATCTATAGTCGGATGCAACCTGAGAACAATCTTTTAGCTCAACCCACAAGCGCATTGCGCCCATCTGAAGTGCGTCCGCCGTCGAGAAAGTAGTTCGCTAGCAACGTTGCTTTTTCTTCCTCCAGGAAATGTGTCTTAAACTACTACAATATTTATTTAATTCAATCAGGACATTTAAATAAGTTAGAATACGTTTTTGTCAACGAAATAGCTGTTTAGTAAAGAAAGAAAGTCATGTCCAATGTACCGTCTTCCCATTTCATTCTGTGTCCAAGATACTGTCTAACATACCGTCTTCCAGCGCCTTCGATTGAGGGAAAGCGAAGCACTTATAGTTCCTGCAAATAATAAATATTTAGTGATTTACTTAGTTTTGTGGGCTTTGCGCTCGAAATGTGTGCCTTTATTTTGTTGGATGAATAGAAAACAAGAATAATTATACTTTTCGGGTATTGACGAATCGGCACCCTCCCAAGTCATCGACACCACCACCGCGCCCCGCTCTCTTTGTCTCCCGTCATGGATCTCACTGAGGTGACATCGGAAAACGATTCCCCTGATTCTTCTTGGACGAAACAGCCTGGTGCAGCCTTACCGGCGACACCAAAGCGGTTCTTCAAGAAGCACAAGCGAGGTCGGGTTTTGAACAGCGGCCAGCGGGAGCTGATCCTCAGCAGTGCTAAGCCTCGCGCCCGCTTCGAAATTTTCGTTGGCGATAGCGTCGCTAAATTCTCTTGTTGTCGCTCAAAAACTGCTGCAAACGCAAGCCGCTACCATTAAGATTTCGTGGCGTAACCTCGGGCACGTAAAACACGGTGCAAAAAAGCAGAATAATTGTCACGAGAAACTAGCGTCGCGTTGCTAAGGCCAGCGGCCATGTTGAGCTTTCTTTTTTTTTTTTTCAAAAGGATCGCGATTGGTCCACGGAATCGTGACGTCATGAAAACGATTGGCTGGCGTTTCTCGGCGTAGGATTACATTTTCCTCTGAGAGGCATTTCCGGTTTTTTCTTAGCTTGCAACCGACTATAGGTCAA